ACAGAACTTCTCTCTAAAGACGAATATTTCAGATCCCTACTACAGAACTTTTCTCTAAAGACGAATATCACAGATCCCTCCTACAGAACTTCTCTCTAATGACAAATATTACAGATCCCTACTACAGATCTTCTCTTTACAGACAAATATTACAGATCACCACTACATAACTTCTCTCTAAAGACAATTATTACAGATCCCTTCTACAGGACTTCTCTCTAAAGACAATTATTTCAGATCCCTACTACAGAACTTCTCTCTAATGACAAATATTACAGATCCCTACAACAGAACTTCTCTCTAAAGGCGAATATTACAGATCCCTACTACAGATCTTCTCTTTAAAGACAAATATTACAGAACCCTACTACAGAACTTCTCTAAAGACAAATATTACAGATTCCTACTACAGAACTTCTCTAAAGACAAATATTACAGATTCCTACTACAGAACTTCTCTAAAGACAAATATTATAGATCCCTACTACAGAACTTCTGTCTAAAGACGAATATCACAGATCCCTCCTACAGAACTTCTCTCTAAAGGCGAATATTACAGATCCCTACTACAGAAGTTCTCTCTAAAGACGAATAGTACAGATGCCTACTACAGAACTTCTCTAAAGACAAATATTACACATCCCTACTACAGAACTTCTGTCTAAAGACGAATATTACAGATCACTACTACAGATCTTCTCTCTAAAGACAAATATCACAGATCCCTACTACAGAAGTTCTCTCTAAAGACGAATAGTACAGATCCCTACTACAGACCTTCTGTCTAAAGACGAATATCACAGATCCCTCCTACAGAACTTCTCTCTAAAGGCGAATATTACAGATCCCTACTACAGATCTTCTCTCTAAAGACAAATATCACAGATCCCTACTACAGAAATTCTGTCTAAAGACGAATATTAAAGATCCCCAATCCAGAAGTTCTCTTTAAAGACAAATATTACAGAACCCTACTACAGAACTTCTCTCTAATGACGAATATTACAGATCCCTGCTACAGAACTTCTCTCTAAAGACAATTATTACAGATCCCTACTACAGAACTTCTCTCTAAAGACAAAAATCGCTCCATTAACAATAAGAACTCAATAAACGATAGTAATTGTCTTTTTGTCAAGCAAATATGGAAAGTCTCCACCAGCATGGTACTCGAGGATGATAGTGATTTTAACACCAGTACAGCCTACGTTATCACCATATACCACACCACATGCAAGGTCCTTTTTAACGGAAAAACATAGCTGTCTTTATGGAGCACCTGAGACATGTCGTTATCAATATATGTTATCGGTCATTTATTTTCACAAAATGAACACATACATTTTACAAACGTGCAGTGTATTGCAGTTCAAGCCCCTCCCCCCAGCAAACATCCTGATACTAGACTGTTGGCTAAACAACCAGGAACCCTTCCGTCTCAGAAGTGCATTACAGATACTGAATCATTCCGATATCTGTCCCTGTGGTGGCACATCATACCAAACCATGTAATACACAGACAATATCTGTGTCTCGAGCAGATCACACACCCCAGCCTACCCTGCTATCGCTGATGCTTCCTCTATTTTAAATACAGCCACCGATTTAAGTATCACAGATATTAACACTCCAACAACGCAGATTCAGCAACGCACTGTACCTCCCCTCCTGGAACTACAAGAAGCGAAGTACATATCCCTGCCTAGTTTGTTCCAGCAGGTCCCAGAATGTCATCCCAACTCCCCCCTATGCTGTCTAGTAACGATGACACTTAAACAGCTTTATCAAGCAAAGACGCCAAACAACTTCGACAATAAAAACCAAAGCTAAAGTAGTGGGAAAATGAGCTGAACAAAGGACGCAGCTTTTCTCAACCACGATAAAAAAACCATCTCGAATCAAAGCATACTTAGTGTGATTGTAATCAGAACTGAAAGAACTGTAGAACTCCAACCACATACTGCGTATGCAGAACACAGCCCTTATGGAGGAAAAAGCATTCGACAAACAAATGTTCTTGCTGATAATGACTCTAGTATGATACAAGGTCCATACCATCCTTCAGGAAACAAGACTATTGGGCTAGTACTAATTCAGTGAATTAGCAGATAGCAGACAAAGATATTACCCAAGCGAGTTTTAGACTGTTACATGATCAGATGGTATCACTAGAAGAAAGAGGGCGGGCAGTAAAATAAAACATAACCTGGTCATGGATAGTATCACCCAGCATCTCGATCCCTGAGGATATTACAGATTCAGTTTTAGAAGGATTACATTTAATGTCCCATTTAATGGCCCACAGCTTAATATTAGTCAAGTCATTAGAAAGATTTTGTGCCAATTCAATGGGATTATTATCACATATACCATAGAGAGAGGTCATCTGCAAATAATTCAATTCTACTGGAAACACAATCAACAATATCATTAATACATATCAAAGACAATAACGGACCGAGGACCGAGCCTTTTGGAACCACTGCTTGAACAGGGTCAAAGGTTGATGTATAACCTTCAGTTAGCACTCTGTTTTCTGTATGATAAAAAGTTACGAAAACCAATTTAAGAGATAACCTTTAGCAGTCTATTGTGTCAAGCTCTATCAAAAGCCTTGTTTATGTCACAGAATATAAATCTGATTTCTTTATTTTGATCTAGGCAATTAACATTGTTTTGGTAAATAGACAATAATTGATTTACAGTTGAATCTTTAGATGTAAAGCCAGACTGGTATTTTTTAATGATTTTATAAGTAATGAGGTAATTATATAGATATTTAAAAATGATTTTTCTAACATTTTACTCAAACATGAAGTAACAGAGATAGGTCTGTAATTAATCACCTCATTAACTAATCCTTTACCTTCATAAATAGCGTTAATATTAGCCATCTTCCAGCTGAAGGGAATGCTACCAGTTTCAAGTGTTTTGTTAAATAGAAGAGTTAGAGGAAAGAGGTTAGATGGATGTTATTGTTTGATTATTTTGGGAATCATATTATCTGGTGCAGCAGGTTTATTAGCATTCAAAAGAAATAGCTGATCTTCAACATCCTGTTGGGTTATAACAATATCATTAATGGAATAAGGAAAATCGTTAGTAGTTTCAGGTATAGGCTCAGCATTTTCAGAAGTGGTAGATATTGATACAAAGTATTTCAATGAATTATTGTGTGTTAGTGGGGGAGTAGAAGTAGATTTGTTATTTATATTAAGGACATTTGTGCAATTTTCCACCACTTGTTAGGGCTAATAGTTTTGTCGGTTAATGCTTTGTGTAAATTTTCAACATACCTTTTCTTGGCATCACATATTTTACTAATTGTTTCATTTCTTTTGTTTCTGTAATTTTCCCAGAAAAAAGCCGAATTACTAGATTTTGCAACCCTATGAGCCCTATTTCGTTGTCTTATATGTAGTCTAATATCATTAGTCATCCATTTTTTATCGTTTGGTCTAACTGTTGCATACTTAACGGCTATAGACTAATTAATTAAGTGTTTTATAGTGTCGCATAAAATATTGCTTTTTTTTGAAAACTGCATAGGAAATATTTAATTGTATCAGAGAATGGTCACTACATATAGGAGGAAGCACAGATGCTTTTCTAACTAGATTTCTGTTGTTGGAAAAGACCATATCAATTGAAGTTGATGGAGTTGGAGTGATACGGGTGGGGTCTGTGATAAAACTAGAAAGATTAAATTTTGTCATTAGTCTACCAAGGTGAGAATGGGGTTGAAGATTTAACATGTTCATATTAATATCACCAGTAATCACTATATCTAAGTTAGTGTTTACAGCTTTTTTAATGACTCGATCTAAAATTTCCCAATATGTAACTGGTGATTCTGGTCTATATGGACAAGCCAGAAGAAACTTGTGCGCCTCAATATGGATTTCCACACATATCATTTCAAATTCATTATGTTCAAGATCATCATTTAGCGAAAATTTTATTTTTGTGATAGATTAAAACCCAAACAACGGGACCAGTTTTCTATCCAGCCTATAAAGATGTTCAGAGTAACATGGAATTATTAGTTCAGAATTAGGTATTTCAGGGTTGAGGTGTGTTTCAGTTAGGCAGATATTATCCCTTTCATGTAATTCGGTTTCAACAATATCAGTCTTGTTTCTTAAGGATCTTATATTGAGGTGAGAACATTCTAGGTTCTAGAGGACCTGGGTTTAACTTAATATCATTACAGCTGATTAATAAAATACTAGTCACATAGAGAAAGAAAAGAAAGTTTTTTCAGATTGTGTATACAGGGGAAATTTATGAACGACGTGTACATACTAGTTAGTACACGGTTAATTTAGTCATACACCCCCTATGCAAAGCTACAAATTCCAAAAGTGCTGAAAACTGTAAACCAGTTTGGGCTGTCAGATTTATACACATACATGGTCTTTAAGGTCAGTTATTACCCTGTTAAACACTCCCAAAGAATGACTTCTACAGAACTGTGAAGCATGGAGTCACATAATGTGCCTTTAGTTGTTGCTTGTTTAGATGAAAGGCTATCAAATAATATTAAGTACTGTTAAGATAACGTTTCAGATCTAATAAAAATAAAATAAAAAAATCCGACGACTTCTATACATCAGACAATAAAGCCAAGATCAGATGTAATTGTTTGCCGTTCTATCCTGTCGCTGATCTAATGTTAATAAAGGACTCGTACACTTGCTCATGACCTTGAACTACTTTCTAGTACAAAGGCTTAAGAAAGTCGAATTATTTGATTTAAATTATTATAATTATATTCCTAACTGCCCATTTACTAACAGGTCATTGGGGTCAATAAAGGTCGGACATGGACATGACACCAACACGAAATAGTAAAAGACAAACGTCTGATGGAACAGTACGTGTTTACTATATCGTTTTGAACAGACCAAACGTTTTCAGGTAGTTCTGAATTATAAAGATATTAACTGTTTAAAAAACATTAAAGATTTCATAACTGCAGTACGTTATTTTGTTTGTAGTGGGATGTTACGTCACATATGAACCATGGACATCGGTCCTATCGTCCTCACCAACGTCCATGTCTACGTCACCTGTGTTGTCTCTCAGTCCTCATCCTGAAGCCACAGTCGTGAAAGGTCAGCCTCTGATACTGACCATCACAATAATGGCCGGCACATCACCGGCATCGGTGCTGCAGTGGTCAACTAGCAGCACAGGCGAAAACACCCTTGGATCCGTGACGTTATCAGCAATAGATATGTGCCAGGAAGGTAGGAACATTTCGCAGGCATGCTGGGTAAACGAGACGTTGGTACGGTTCTCTGTTGAACAGCCTCGACATGACGACACGATTTACTGTGTTGTGATAGTGGGTAACTGGAGCTCCCGTTCTACACTTACCATCTCTACCAAGATCTACGTCATCGGTAAGCTACAAACAGTGGTCTACTATGAAATATCAGAATAATTACAAAAACAAAAATTCGGTTTGGACATCTTTTATTTATTGATTATGTTTCTGCATTAACATGACATAGTATTTTTTCTTTGGAGTAGGATTCGTAAGTTTGGTTTGAATGATAATGACTAAGTTTGTTTCGATGCACTCTTTGCCTGATAAAGGAAACAGACGTTTTCGAAATCTCGTCAAATAAGTTTTCAATTCCTGTTTGTGTTGAAAATAAACTTAGTCTTTATAGTTTTTTTTCACTTTAAATATAATATTGTTTTATTAATCATAACTGGAAAAAAGTATATGGCACTATTTTCTATCAATATGTCTAGTACAGGATAGCATAGGAAAATGGCAAATGATTAAGAAGAAAGGAAGTCAAAACAAACTATTTGAAATAAAGTTCTGCTGGATCTACTTAAGCATTGCACACTCCTCCGAAAGTATCACATTTCATATCCAATGTCAACACAATTTTTGTGTGTGTATTGAAACAATTGACAATTAAAACAAAAGTAATATGTCAAGCTGCAATTACTTATTGGTCTATGTTTACATTGTTATTATTTTGAGTCCAGTGAAGACGATCTTTATAGATCCCGTATCAGTAAGAAATCTTAACATAGTATTCTATCATGACGCTAAACTTCGTGCTTACCAAGGACACGAAGGGTGTTTGGTGAAGCCCAAAGTATAAACATGTCCTTTTTTCAGTATAGACTGTCGCTATTTTGTATTTATGCGTTATCCAGTGTTTTATAAAAACAATAGTTACTATAAGACATGGTCTGTATTCGTTTTAATAGTAGCAGGACAGCTATATTTTGGCAGTTTATGGGTCTGTGTTATTTATTCTAATAGGCCAAAATCTATATATTATATAAGATTTTCGGTAATTCTGAGGGTACTTCTAAAGCTGGTATGCCATCTATTCCTTGTACTATAATTGAAAAATTGCAAAGTAAAACCAAAATGTGACAAAAAAGTGTACAGAACAAATGAAAATTGTTTCATTTGAAATGCTTGAAATTTTATTTATTTACTTATTTGTTATTTTATCTCAAATCATAAAACCATGTCTTCGTATTATTTCGTTAAGTTGAAAATCAAAAGATTCGAAACTAACTATTGTGCAGGAATGTTATCAGTCAAACATCTTCATATAAGCGTACAGAAGAATTTCCATATTAGTTAATTGCTATTACAGTGACTAGTGGTTTCAAAGAAACTGCTCTCTCAATTGGGTCCCGGTTCCATAGAAAACATCCCTGTATGTTTATTTGGTTGATGTTTCTAGTATTGTAGAACAAAACAATAAAGTCTATAGAAAGACATTTTTATTGACACCAAACAAGATATACTTTCTGTTCCTGAAAGTATTAATGCTTTTTTGGGGCAGACCAAATTTGTGCATATCCTTGATTCAAGGAATGAACTGATATTTTTTCGAGTTTAGCCATGTATACTAAAACAGCACTCGGTATAAATGTGTTTACCTCTGTGTAAACACCATGTATTTAGCAGGTTCTTTTAGCATTCCGCTTGGTCACATTATAATGACAACGGGTTAACCAGTTGTTGCGAATACCCTTTAGCATGAAATAACAACTACTGGGGACAGAATTCCTCGTCATTGGCTGAATGTTCAACACTAAAGCCAAGTGTGGCAGTATATTATTTTTTCCACCATTGTGTCCCGAATTGGAAGGCACAGAAGCCAATCACCGATGCTTGCTACACGTGTTTTTGTCTTCATAGTTACCTCATGCATTCTTTTTTCTCTCTCGATCTGCAGGGGTGATATCAATAGTTTGTATTACGAAAACTTACATGTATTATGCATACTGTTGTTTGTGTTTATTCAGATACACCGTTCGTCGTGCCACAACTGATTTGCAAATACATAATGTTGCTCATTTTTATTTCATATCCCAGAGCCCGTGGAGTCTGTCTACCTTGTAAGTTTGTCCGGGGATATTATCGGAGACCAACTAGTAGTGAAAGAAGGTGAAAATGTCACTTTACGTTGTGAGACGTCCCCTAGTCGACCCCAGGCCACCATCAGCTGGATCAGAGACAACGGCGACATATCCTCGTCAGCTGATACCTTGTCTATTGTTTCTGTTGGCAAAGACTTGTTTCGAACTTACCAAAACTTGACTATAATGGCGGAGAGGTCCTCTGGATCATTGAATTCCTTCATAAGTTGTAATGCAGTCAACAACCGTTCTAGCGTCAACTCCAACCTACTTGAGATTATCGTCCTGAGTAAGTCTTTGTCGGGTCGTTTATACTAAAGAATGATGTCAATAAACAACATACGTTTTGTTTTTACAAGATATATTATTAGAGGTTCCACATATGGCGAATGAGACGTTTACTGTAAAAACAATATAACACTGTAAACACAATATTACACTGTAAACACAATATAACACTGTAAACACAATATTACACTGTAAACACAATATTACACTGTAAACACAATATTATTCTACTGTATGTATTAACTTCGTGTTCGGCTTGTAAAGTGTGGCCGATTAAAGAAAATGTCAAACAAAAGGTTAATACTTGTGTCTTTTGTGGAACTAGGGTCTTCCCGTTCAAACCTATACGATTGTATTATTGTACTAAGGTCTACCTGCTAAACCTACAGCTATGTTGTTATTGTTTACCTATCAATTTACTGATATTGTTGTGTTGTACTACAGGTATGTTTACCTGCTTAACGCACGACTGTTTAATTCTTAAGATACCGTCTAAACTTGCTGCTATTGTATCGATTTACCTAATGTACATGTTAAACACACTGCAATTTTATTGATGTACTAATGCTTTCCTGCTAGAAACACTGCAATTTTTATAATTTATAATTTTAATGTTTACCTGCTATACTTACTGCTATTTGATAGTTGTACTAAGTTCCACCTGCCAAACCAAACACCATTTTGTTGTTGTACTAATGCTTATCTGCTAAACTTACTGCTATTCTATTATTATTTTTTTTATAATTTGTTTATTTTTAAAGACATTTTTATTACATAAATACATAAACACATATACACCCACATACATACAATTCCCATTTGCATGGTTTGTCTCTTGCATCGTCATATCTTTCATCATCATCATCATCATCCTCATCGTGACTGAATATCATCTTCAGCCTTGTCAATCATCATCAATAGTAATACACCATTATCATCTTAATACATCATCATCATCAACAACATCATCAACAACATCATCAATCTATCATCATCCTAGCATCATCATCATCATCATCATCATCATCATCATCATCATCATCATCATCATCATCAGCAGCATCATCATCATCATCATCATCATCAACAACATTCTATTTATCCATCATCATCATCATCATCATCATCATCATCATCATCATCATCATCATCATCGTCATCATCGTTATTCTATCATCATCATCATGCTATTCTATTTTGTACTTAGATTAACTTGCTAAACTTGCTGCTATTTCATTAGGTTTACCGACTAAAACAACTGCTATTTCCATGGAGTACATTAGCGACGTGGATGTCAGTTTGATATGGAACATGGAGCCAGAGTCAGTGTACCGCGTGAGCTTCAACATCCTTGTCCTGCCAGACACTGGCGGACTGACCGTCGGTCCATACACACAAGTGGACGGTAAGTGTAATCCTAATTCAAAATGGCGATACCATGCCTTATTCCACAATCTGTACGTTGTTGTTATTATGTCCCCTAAACGAAGAGGGGGTACTTATTGTTTTTGCCCCGTTTCTTATGCAGTGCGCATACCGGTTTCTGATTCTTAAAACAAAATGGCCGCCATGAGGAGGCAACAAATATGTCAAAATCTAAATATTGTCCGATTTTCATGAAAATTGGTATATATAGGTACTATATGATACCACACATAAAACTGTAACGTCCATATCCGGTTTCAACAAAATAGCTGCCATTTCATGGCCTTTGATCATCCAAATTTAAATATCCTCCGATTTTCATGGACATTAGTATATAGGTACTTTTTGGTATCAAAATAAAAAAGTTAGAATTTAAACCATTTTATTCAATTATGATAAAGATATGATTTAGTAGTTGTTTCCCCTAATTTAATTATTAATTCGATAAATATCAACCTGTTTATATGTGTTTGTATGTGTTCTAATGTCTATGTCTATGCTTTTACCACTGTTTGTTACCGTGTTTGGAGAGGGCTTAAATAGGCTATGCCTGCTGCCCAATCCGTTTGTGTTTTGATTTTTTTTAGTGTTTGTCTGTAAATAGTCGATCACATGTATGACAATAAGGTTGGTGTTCCTTGTTATTCATTTTAAATTTTTAAGACAATTGCATAAATGTAGAGCCATTTCCTTATGTTCTGTATGTAGCTAATATAAATATGAACTAAGAGCGTGTGTCTAGCTACAGGCTGTTGACAGAACCTCGATAACCCAATATTATAAAGTAATTAGAGTCAAACATCTTATGTATTAAATCAACGACAGTAAAACACTTAAGTGTGAACCAAACAGTAATTTTAACTTATAAATATGACAATTAGAAAAGATTAACATAGTGACCCTTGATAAAAACAAGAAACACAGGTCCATGTGTTCCAGAAGGGTAACAATTTTCTGCTTCATCGCGAACAAAAACATATACGACTAAATCAAATCCACCATACACATTCTGAAATATGAATGATGTTCAAGGCATATTCAGGAGATATTTTCGTGTAGAAGACACTGGGCATTTTTTCTGTACTTTTGCATAGGTTTCTGTTATGTGTTGAAGGAATAAAGTCTGGTAACGCTCAGGCAGATATACAGTTCTCAAGCAGAATCACAGGTCTTCAAGCGAACAGAGCCTACAGCGTGTCTGTCACGGCCTACAATGCCGTAGGTAGGAGTCCTTCAGTATCTATCTACATTGCCATATCATCAGGTTCGTAGAACTTTTGTTTTCATATTTGTGTCAAGTCGCGAGATATATTTATAACAATTAACTGACTCTGATATTGAACGATGCAATATCAAAATAAATTCAGGTGTCATGTCGACAATGTAGCTTGTGGTTTGTAATAAACGTTGGCCTACTATACATTGTATATCTACCGGCATATCTAACAGTGTGTATATATATACTAGTATATCTGACAGTGTGTTGATATATCCCTGCATATTTGACAGTGTGTTGACCTATACAATTATTTTTTATATGACTATACTATCTCAGAAAGATCGCGTGAAAGCATATGTAATCGGTTATGAACGTCACTTTAGACACTGTCACCTTGAGTTATAACGTGCAAGTCGGCAGCCATCAAGGTAACGACCACACTCGACCTTGTGGAACTTGTGAGCGCGTCCAAGGTTTACACCGCATCCTTTGGAAAGCACGCTTTCCAGTTAGGCATTAGTTATCCCCCTTTTTCCTTGGCTGTTAACCCACTTCCCCTACGAGAATCTAGTCCCAAGACATGGCCTTAGAAAATCCTGCGAGTCCTTCCTGTGTACCATATACCTTCTTTAGCCACCGAGAGCTGACCTTACATGCTACCACAGGTTCACACCACTGCCACCAAAAGCAACTTACATGCGTATCCCATCCAGCCACTGACTACACGAGATGTTGCTGAACTCATGACCGCGTCCCAGGATTAAACCGTATCCATGAAAATGTTAGGTTGCCAGTAAGGCATTATTTTCTCCTCTGATTCCTTGGCTGTTTCTCTATTCCCCTCCTAGAAATCTGGTCCAAGGACTTGGTCTTAGGAATTCTGTTAGTCTTCCCTGTGTACCATTTCATCCGGATTTTACCGCATCACTGGAAAAAATAGCTTGTCAGTAAGGCAATGTTTTACCCTCTTATTCTTTTGCTTTTGCTTTTTTATTTCTAGTCCCAAGACTGTACCTTGAAAATCCCTTGAGCCCCCCTTGTGTACCATTTTACCTTCCTTAACCACCACCTTAACATGCCTTTCACGACATACCACAAAATCCTACCGCTGTCACCAAATGTAACGTATAGACGGTAAACCATCCAACCACAGACCACGTTCAACGTTGCTGAACTAGTGATCGCGTTCCCGTGTTATGCCGCATCGCTAAGGCAGGATTTTCTTGTTTGGCTGTGTCACAATTGCAAAAAGGTTTACGAGTAGCTCTTGGTCTAACATTGGACTATATACATACCCAAGAAACTAAAGACTTATTCTGGAATTTAATGTGAATATTGGCATAATAATGCGTCATTTGTTTCACATGCGATTATTTTAAAGAAAGAAAGAAAGAACTTTTTACATTTAAACGTGATTTTCGCATTAATCGCATCTTAAAACATCAAATTATTGATTTTGTATGAATTCAGATCAAAATGGAATGCTGTTTTTCCATATAATACGGCATTATAAAACAAAAATATATGTGGCTGTAAGATTTCAGATAAGGGTGGAATGCTGTATTTCAGCGTTGTTATACGGCATTATCAAAAAATATAATAGCAGTGGCTGTATAATTTCAGATGAGAATGGAATAGCGTACTTCCATGTTGGTTTATCATTGATTGTGGTAGCCAGCCTTATACTGCTGATGATTGGAATCGGCTTGGCGATTAGACTTAAGCAAGGTAACATAAAGAAAGAAAATTCACATGCACAAGTCTCAAGCAATAAACGTAGATATCTCTATGAAGTACCTTAGTTTAAATATTTCCAACAGAATTCTTTTACGGTTAGAAAATATCTGTGAATACAGGCTGATTTCTTCAAAAGGATTTTATCTAAAACTTATTTAATTTACAGAAATTATTTAATAAGTTATTACAACTTGTATTTATCCCTCTTGTTTGGCGTTTTCGTTCTGCTAAAAATAATCAAGATTGAAGATATGAATTCGCGAAAAGATATCGTCAATATTGTTATGGTGAAACTTCTTAAGAGTCGATTTGGCCTGATTCCAGGTCATCGAATTAGGAAAATCCATGCATTTGTCGATCGACATTATTTATTCAAGATCAATAAATTAAAAATCTCTCGAAAATAGATGATTTTCCAGTTGTCGTATTTTAATACATATGTCCATATTCATATTACCATTCTTCTTTTTACCCTCATCTTAGTAAAATGTTAATTAACAGTTTCTTTTGTTTCAAAGGAAATGTATCACGGGGCAGCAGCCTCTGTGGACTGCCCGCTCCGTGTCGGTCACCGGAGGTCAAAGAGTCTGATCCTGTGTACGAAGACTTGGACAACTTTAGCAAAACCGATGCACCTGCCATCGGTGAGTAGAGATCTACTGAACATTCCAACATATTTCATTAATTGACGTTATATTTGATAAAGGCTTGGACACCATGGTTTAAAACCTATACTGTATATTTTTCTCTTTCAATTTTTTAAAATTTCATTCAAAGGCATAATCAGCAATACATATAACAAAAGTACATGTTGAGGTACGTCTAAGATACAGTAGGTACTCATTTAGAAATTGTACATTTCATTCAGTCTGTTTACATTCATATCAATGTATATCGTGCTAATTTAGATAACTTGTTATATCTTTTCTGTAACTTAGCATTAGTAATATGATACATATTTCATGATTCGTATCGGTAGCTATTTATCCTCTGAAACAAACCGATCACTAATGGTATGTGGTATGGTATCCTGGTCACGGCCCCATTTGTAAAAGGAAAGAGAATAGTGTGCTTCCACCGGGGATTGAACCCTCGATCTCCAGGTTCCTAGTCGGACGCTTTACCACTGAGCTAAAGGGAAATTCCCTCTAGCTCGAAGCTAGAAGGCGACCTTAATCCTATGTACAATTGAACCCTGACACAGGTATATAATATGAATTAATGAAGCACACACCAACCCTGCAGGTCGAGGATCGAGAGAAGAATACACCTGCTGTTACCCACTGTATTGGTTTCGTAAGAGGCGACTAATGCGTGAATCCGATGCAGAATTGGGGTTTTGCTTTTGTGTCCTCTACTTGGGGACACAAAAGTGACCAAAATGAATCTGCTGCACCCGTTGCAATAGCTGGGATATTAATATTTCTCTCTACTTTTAAAGTAATTTTATTTACTAGTGATTTGCTTGTTAATACCTCACGTTTGGTTTTAATGTTGAGCGTTCAACACTATATTTTACTAGAAAAAAAATCAAACGTAATGAAATATAGAATTGTTATCATTGCATAATCGTAAGAGGCGACTAAATTTGGTATCTTATCTTTTCTCTTCTTTCTAAACAACTTCCTTCCACCTAAAATCTCCCATGACAATGCCTAACTTTTGGCCTTTAGTTCAGCGTTCGCCCCTGTGAGGAAGGCTTTGGGGGTTTTCCCCTGGCCGAGACATACTAGAGTCTGGAAAAATGGTAGTTTCTACTCCTGCATAACGCTCAGCAATTTAGGAGTTGGACGACTGGTTCGCCCGTTGTCAGTATAATGTGACCGGGTGGGGTACCCCATCTTGTTGGGTGTCTTCGGCAGTATTTTTCAGTGAGGTAGCACTATAAAGTCGGCATCAGTTCCACGCTATCAAAAGGAGACAAACGCGAACATTTTGCAGCCTCCCAAAACACTACACGAATAGTTGATAGGACGTTAAACCAAACCAAACCAAACCAAACTCTTTTTGTACAATACTAATGATAACTGGGTTCTCCGTTTCAGAAAAACGACTTCGAAATGCAAGGTAAGTTGGCTGCAGGTCGTTTAGGGTTTTTACTGCTTTGAATACAAAACCTACAAAAAACAACTACATAGTCGGATTTCTGATACATAATTAAATGTTTTGCTACCATGGGAGTCGTCGATTACTATTTGATTATTTGTAATATGTCATTAAAATAATATTTCGGTCAGACATCAAAAACTGAATTCTGTTTCATTTCAAAGGATGCATGGTTCCCAAACATGATTGTAGTAAATTGTTTGTCTATATTGATATAAAACTATTGATATAATATCACGATCATTATTTTAGAAAAGGTAAAGAAGGAACAAAGAGAACTGCAGGCCCGGTATCTGGTATTTACAACTCCATTGGTTCAAATTTAGGTAGGTGATAAACAAACTGTTACAAATATAGGTAGGTGATATAACTACTGTTACAAATATAGGAAGGTGATAAGACAAACTGCTACAAATATAGGTAGGTGACAAAACAAACTGCTACAAATATAGGTAGGTGACAAAACAAACTGCTACAAATATAGGTAGGTGACAAAACAAACTGCTACAAATATAGGTAGGTGATATAACTACTGTTACAAATATAGGAAGGTGATAAAACAAACTGCTACAAATATAGGTAGGTGATCAAACAAACTGCTACAAATATAGGAAGGTGATATATTATTTGTTACAAATATAGGTAGGTGATATAACATTTGTTACAAATATAGGAAGGTGATATATTATTTGTTACAAATATAGGTAGGTGATATAACTACTGTTACAAATATAGGAAGGTGATAAAACAAACTGCTACAAATATAGGTAGGTGATAAAACAAACTGCTACAAATATAGGTAGGTGATATATTATTTGTTACAAATATAGGTAGGTGATATACTATTTGTTACAAATATAGGTAGGTGATCAAACTACTGTTACAAATATACGTAGGTGATAAAACTACTGCTACAAATATAGGTAGGTGATATAACTACTGTTACAAATATAGGTAGGTGATATAACTAATGTTACAAATATAGGAAGGTGATATAACTAATGTTACAAATATAGGTAGGTGATATAACATTTGTTACAGATATAGGTATGTGATAGAACTACTGTTACAAATATAGGTAGGTGATATAACTACTGTTACAAATATAGGTTGGTGATATAACTACTGTTACAAATATAAGTAGGTGATATAACTACTGTTACAAATATAAGTAGGTGATATAACTACTGTTACAAATAAAGGTAGGTGATATAACATTTGTTACAAATATAGGTAGGTCATATATTATTTGTTAGAAATATAGGTAGGTGGTATAACTACTATTACAGATACAGGTAGGTGATATAACTACTGTTACAAATATATGTAGGTGGTATAACATTTGTCACAAATATAGGTAGGTGATATAACTACTGTTACAAATATAGGTAGATGATATATTATTTGTTACAAATATAGGTAGGTGGTATAACTAATGTTACAAATATAGGTAGGTAATATAACTACTGTTACAAAATATAGGTAGGTGATATGACTACTGCTACATATATAGGTAGGTGGTTGAACTACTGTTACAAATATAAGTAGGTGGTATAACATTTGTTACAAATATAGGTAGGTGATATAACTACTGTTACAAATATGGGTAGGTGATATAACATTTATTACAATTATAGGTAGGTGATAAAACAAACTGCTACAAATATAGGTAGGTGATAAAACAAACTGCTACAAATATAGGTAGGTGATAAAACAAACTGCTACAAATATAGGTAGGTGATAAAACAAACTGCTACAAATAAAGGTAGGTGATATAACATTTGTTACAAATATAGGTAGGTGATATAACTACTGTTACAAATATAGGTAGGTGATATATTATTTGTTACAAATATAGGTAGGTGGTATAACTAATGTTACAAATATATGTAGGTAATATAACTACTGTTACAAAATATAGGTAGGTGATATGACTACTGCTACATATATAGGTAGGTGGTATAACTACTGTTACAAATATAAGTAGGTGGTATAACATTTGTTACAAATATAGGTAGGTGATATAAAAACTGTTACAAATATAGGTAGGTGGTTAACTACTGTTACAAATATAGGTTGGTGGTATAACAACTGTTACAAATATAGGTAGGTGATATAACTACTATTACAAATATAGGTAGGTGGTATAACTACTGTTACAAATATCGGTAGGTGATAAAACATTTGTTACAAATATAGGTAGGTGGAATAACATTTGTTACAAATATAGGTAGGATATATATCATTTGTTACAAATAATGGTAGGTGATATAACTACTGCTACAGATATAGGTAGGTGATCAAACAAACTGTTACAAATATAGGTAGGTGATATAATATTTGTTACCAATATAAGTAGGTGATATAACAGTTGTTACAAATATAGGTAGGTGGTAAAACATTTGTTACAAATATAGGTAGGTGATTATAACATTTGTTAGAAATATAGGTAGGTGATATAACTACTATTACAAATATAGGTAGGTGGTATAACTACTGTTACAAATATAGGTAGGTGATTATAACATTTGTTAGAAATATAGGTAGGTGATATAACTACTATTACAAATATAGGTAGGTGGTATAACTACTGTTACAAATATAGGTAGGTGATTATAACATTTGTTAGAAATATAGGTAGGTGATATAACTACTATTACAAATATAGGTAGGTGGTATAACTACTGTTACAAATATAGGTAGGTGATTATAACATTTGTTACAAATAAAGGTAGGTGATATAACTACTGCTACAGATATAGGTAAGTGATATAACTACTGTTACAAATATAGGTAGATGGTATAACATTTGTTAAAAGTATAGGTAGATGATATAACTACTGTTACAAATAAAGGTAGGTGATATAACATTTGTTACAAATATAGGTAGGTGATATATTATTTGTTACAAATATAAGTAGGTGATATAACTACTGTTACAAATATAGGTAGGTGATATAACTACTGTAACAAAAATAGGTAAGTGATATTACTACTGTTACAAATATAGGTAGGTGATAAAACTACTGTTACAGATATAGGTAGGTGATAAAACTTCTGTTACAAATATAGGTAGGTGATATAACTACTGTTACAAATATAAGTAGGTGATAAACTACTGTTACAAATATAGGTAGGTGATAAAACTACTGTCACAAATAATGGTAGGTGATATAACTGCTGCTACAAATAAAGGTATGTGATATAAACTACTGCTACAAATAAAGGTAGGTGATATATAATAACTGTTAGAAATATAGGTAGGTAATATAATAATTCTTACCAACTTGGATGCCACACGCGAATTAAAAACGTTTGCCTTTTCTGAGCAATTGATCTGGTCTCTGTTGTAGTTTTTAAGAGCAATGCGGTTAACATGTCATTTTGGTTTTGTTTGTGTCATCTCTGTTCCTTTTGTTACTTTAACCTTCGAATTGGATGTTTCTATTTTACTCGCGACCATCGTTACCTCCATAACAACTTAACAGCTATATCCGTTTATAATTAAAAATTGTTATTACAGATGACGTAAACAAGAAAGAAAAGTAAGTCAAACGATACCTGATGCTTTTATCTCTCCTCTATTCCAACTGTTGTGATGTGGACATTGGTCTCAGAACTATACATTTAATTATTACATCAGACTGGAACAGTCATTTCTGCGTCAAATATGTACCGTTGTCCTTTTTATTAGCCCACCACAATCTGATATTGGGCTATCTAAATTATCCTTCGTTCGCGTTCCGTCGTTCCTCCGTTCTTTAAGAATTCTTGTTAGCACTATCTCTCAGACAGTGCTAAAGGGATCTTTCTCAACTTTCACATTAAGGTTTCCGATAGCCCTTTAATAATCATATCGAATTTTGGGACTGGTCGGAAAACCAAGACGGTAGGCATCAATTTTGAATTTTGGGAGTTGAAGTTTGCTAGCACTATTTATGAAGAAGAGTTTAAGTTTTTTCTTCAAATTTCAAATGAAGGATCCTCATGTCCCCTTGTTACGCTTATCGAATTATTTGACTGATTGGAAACGGAGATGACCGTTTGGCGGCTATCTTGAATTTTGATAATCAAATATTGTTAGCGCTATTTCTTAGAAAGTGCCGGAGGGATCCTACTCAAGATTGACACTAAGGTTCCTAATTGTCCTTTTTTGTGAAAATGGATTTTTGGGAATAATGAAATTTTTGTATGCAATAACATTTGTCATAGCGGCGAATAACAAGGTTTAAGTTAATGAACAAGCTTCCCGTGAAGGATTTCCAACACGAAACCGGGCAACAGTATATGTGAGCAAAATGATGAGCAAATCGCGTTCAAGTTAATTTTTTAATAAAATTGAAAATTGACCTGCACCATTTTAAATAAGTTGTTACACAATCCTGGAAACCACGGGTATCTACTTTGGCCATATATAATCACAAAAATATATTTGATACAATGTATACTGAACGAGTACGTATTCTTTCAATCCATTTTTTTTTTATTTATTATTATGGGCCGATGAAGTAATATTACGTCTACAGTGAAAAACTATATTAAACACTTGGATAACTACTCAATTGTATGGCTAATCCATTATCCGATCTAACCTCCGACCGAATAATCCGATTACCTGTTAAAACATGGAACTGATTTGTTTTTTAAGAAATACAGCTAATGCATTACAAATCAAATAACAAAATATCCATACTATTACATACATCGCCGTCAAACATTCCTCAGTTAAACCGTGGGACACCAAAGGTTACACTGACACGTGCTGAGGTATTGTATAAATGTATCAAAAGGCGTTTATTTTTTTTTGTTGCTTGTCATTGTTATAAATCTGACGAGGACAGCTGAATACAGCAGTAAGACGTACATTAGTCTTATATGCATGCTTTCTTTTAACAAAAAATAGACGTCGTGTCCATATGGCGCAGTAACAATATATGCTTTGCCTGACATTTTGCATCGTTTACGAATTAAACTTTCATTTTTAAAGAGGTTACTTATTTCGTGTTTCTAGCGATCATTTTATGTCACAGAGTCATTGATTTTACTGATGGACACTCAATCGATGGTGTTTTTAAATTTTGTAGAGAGCGAATTTTTAAACAATATACTTTGATCAACTATAATGAAACATTATTACTAAATGTGATATTTTCGGAATAATTTGAATCAATTTGTAGCTTTGGCAATATTTATGACGACATACCTGGTGGATCTGCTCTTTTCACATCTTCGGGTTCCGGTTCAGTAACAGCAGGAGAAGGAAATGTGTCACTAGTTGTTCCAAAAACTGACCAGGAGGTGAGTCTTGCCGAGTTAAGCTCAAAGTCAAAGTAGCTTTTGATTGTTGAAAACGTGTTGAAAAGTGTTCCCAACCTTTATCGAAAAAACTATGTTTTCCATACGATCATGTATGTTTTTCAAGGGAAAGTAATGCAATCCTTTCTCTTGCTTTATATCTAAACAAATTAGAGTAGGTCATGTTGCCCCGTCATATATTGATGATTATTTTCGTTGGTTTAACATCTGAACCTTTCAAATTATACATTATGTATTGATATGTCAGAGCAAACGTGCATATTGGGGATGGTTAAAACTCCAGCTCAATCGTAGGGAAGGTAGAATTTAAGATAAATGGGGTGAACGTAAAATTTAGCTCAATGGAGTGAAGTTGGTGTGCAAGCAGCGCTCAATAGGGTGAGAGAAAATCGTGCAAACTCCAGCACAAAGGGATGAGGGGAAAACTGCAAACCTCACCCTCTCAAGCAAATTCGAGCCCAAATGGGTGAGGAAAACCCGTGCAAACTCAATTCCATATATATTATGACTTTATGCTTAGCTATTTGTGAGTTTGTTTAACATTAAGTGTTGGCAATGATTATGTTTCAGAAGGATCTGTCTGCAAAGAAGCCGAAACCGGCTGTCTTAAAGAAGCCTGCTAGTCGTAAACATAGAAGCCCAGTGCCCACGCCCGACATTGTAAACAAAGACTCAACATCGGGAGATATGGTTTCAATAACGATAACGGAAGTGGATGAAACGGGTAAATATAAATTATACATGTGCATACACAGAAAAGTGTGGTGTCGAATTTACGTCAAAATATTTGATGGTCATGTTGTATGACTAATTAATTGTCATAAATGCGTAATTTGAATTCGAATTTGATAAAAAAAGAAGTTAAAATATGATCCCAGGAAACATTAACATTATCACCTCTGAAAATATATAAAGAATAAAGAATAGATCTTTCGATCCATGTGCGACATGTGTGTGAAAGTGACGATTTGTTTCTAAAATATCAGTTTGAAGTGCGCTCCGGGCGCGGGTCGCATATTTCCCGCATATTATAGAGGGCCGGAGTTCTGACGTTAATCGACCACAGACCGATATGAAAAAAGTCGATAAACGTCAGAATAATTCGGACGACTATTCCAGTATAAGTCATACTTAATAGAAATATTCCTTTGGTTAATATTGTATTAACATATTGACATATTGTAAGTAAGCAAAATGTCAACCTCTCGTTTTCGATAACAGTTAAATGAATGTTGATTTGACAGTTGCCTTCAACAATCTTCTTTGTTAGTTCTACCTGTCCATTATTAACCTAACATGCTACACCGTTTCCTTGGTTGCCTCTTGTAACTTATGTGAATTATCGAATCAACCCAAATTATAAGATGGCTGCCGCGGGCTCTGCAATTGTCAACACCTGATGTCACCATGTTTATCTTCTGAAATGATATGGAGATGGGCACACCAAAAACTGCTCACACATATATTACGATATATATCAGCTTCCACATTCATGATTCAGAACAGTACAAATATTGGCAATGAATTGAACAGCCCTTGGCTTCCTTTATGTGGTTACTATTTGGTATAAACTGTCATTTTAGACAAAACTGTGGCCTATGTTGTTATTGTGTGTTGACGGGGTCGTGTATTTGTTGTTGTGTGTTGACGGGGTCGTGTATTTGTTGTTGTGTGTTGACGGGGTTGTGTATTTGTTGTTGTGTGTTGACAGGGTCGTGTATTTGTTGTTGTGTGTTGACGGGGTCGTGTATTTGTTGTTGTGTGTTGACGGGGTCGTGTATTTGTTGTTGTGTGTTGACGGGGTCGTGTATTGTGGTTCATATTGTTCTTGTGTGCTAGTTAATTGGATTCTTATTGGTAAACGCTATTCAAAATATCTTGTTTACCTAAGCTTTTAGATTTACTGTGATACACGTCTCCTATATTAATTGGGGTTTTGTTCGCCTTGGTTTATTATTACGACCACTGATTCTTATAAATTGAGATAGGTCTTGTAACGTTATCTGTGAATACACCCCCACCTCCCCCCACCCTCGACTTCTATTTATCACGAATGACGCCATAATGAAAAGTTTGTCACCACCTAGGAAAAGGACATGTAACTACGAGATAATTATATATTTTTAACAGTTAAATATAGTAAATATAGGATAGATTTGATGACAGATTTAGGATATCGACCTGATTTACATTAATGTGAAACGTATTTGTATTATATTATTTTGTAGAGGGCGAGTCAGAAAAGTAAGTGTTTCTTCTTTGAGCATTTGTAACATGCATATATATATCTTGCTTTTCATGGAGTTTTTGGGAAAAATACGCAATAATAAAATCGTAGCATTTTGGAACAAAAACAAAACAAAAATATGATACAATCTTTTGCATCAAATTAGTTTTTATTAGTTATATATATGTTTTTGATGAAAAAGCTAAGAAGCTTGTAGTTGGTAGACAGTCTACAACAAGTTATTCTATAGAATGACCTTTTGTCTTCATCCTTGAATTGACATTGTTATGTTATTATAATACTTTTCTTTCCCTGCTAATGCTCTTCAGCATTTATATGGGGTTTATTTTCATAAAATTCCTTCAATGATATTGTCTTAATTTGTAAAAGAAACAAAATAACTCTGTGCTGGTATGGGGACAGGACCTGCTGTATCCTACTGCATGTTATGAGAGGTGACTATTGTGGGAATCCGTTTTTTGTAATAACCTTTGTAGAAACAAATAATGCGCAACTTTTTATAGACTTCCTTTATGTTTAATTCTTAAATAACAATTTAAATGTTTAAATAATGTTGCTTTAGAACGGATGATAAACCTGCAGAAGACGTTGGTAGCCCTTGTGAATATATGGACATGCGCGTCCCAGGTACGTAGTTGTATTAACGGTTCCTTAAATCAATTCATTAACACTCTGTTATGGTTTCTTTGTTTCAAACTTACCTTTTCTCGATTCTGGAATCAAACTAAGTACATTTACAGATGATCGATTTCTTCCTATTGGTTATGTTGATCTGAGAACTTCACGAAAAGACATAAGGAGCATAAACATATTAACCCAGTAACCCTTAAAGTCACATTGAAACCTTACAAAACAAAATAATGGGCAAGTCCATTTTAAAAATGTAGGGGTGAATGAGTTAAACAAAGGAATTGTTATTGATATGTTTGATATGTAAAAATATAATAAATAAATAGTGGTAAAGTCCTTTATCACGCCAGCTGATTAACTGGGATAATTACCTACCGGGGCTTTTTAAGTTGTCAGTGTTAGCAATCCGTGTTATAGTATAAAAAAATCATTTATTTAAAGATTCATTGCTTGATTTGATACATGTATAATATTAACACATTTCACTGATAGTAATATGTGTATACAACTTGTAAACATGTTAAACACGTATATTGATGTGTAACGTTTCACAATTGTATTGTGTAATGTACACGTACAGGTTGTAATTGTAAATACTTCAACTTGACCCCGAAACCCTCCTGAAGATTCAAATAATTCCAAAACCGCATACAAAGATTTGTTCTGTTATATTATTGCGGATAATTTTATAGAATATCACTCACTTATGACGTCAGATTAAAAGCAGGTCATGAAGTGATGACTTTGTGATAGTGTAGTGTAAACAATGGACCTGATGAATAAGACGATAGAAAACTCTAAGTCATCTAATGTGGTCTTTGCGAATATTCCGATTTAATCTTGGTAATGTGATTAGAAATCGTTAAAAAAATCTTACTTCTGGAGATGTATTGATATAAAGAATGTCAATTCAGAAGGCTCTGTAGTGAAACAAGCAAAAACTGTCATTAACACAAGTTCTAGTGAAGTAATTGGATTTATGTGAAATTGAAACTCATTCAAGGCGTTTATTGATTTTATACATAGACTGCTATGTACGTTTATACATTCACTGTGAAAACATACACACAAAAACGGGAGAAAAATGATAATGATAACAAAACCCTCTTTGTTCTAGTCTTAAAATATACTCCCTGGTCCCATATTATGATCTGGTACACAAACATATGTAAAGTGTAGGTCAACAGGTCAAAATAGTTCTTACAAGTACGTTAGGTCTATTTCCAATTCATTGATTTTCTGTTCCGTTTATTTTTCATTTTCCCCAAAAGATTACCCAGCAGATTTATATCTATATAGGTAACAAATATCATCATATCGTCTCTATCGTACTTTTGTTGCAGAAACAGAATACGTGGATATTCGAAGACCAGTGGAAGTACGGGCAGAAATCAGTTGATTCCCCTCAGCGTCATCAAACATCAATTCATACTCCCTACAAACACACTGGTCTTATATATGTAATGTGATCAATTAGCATGTCCCTTTGTCTGGCACAAAAGTTCAAACAATTATTTATATAAAATGACTGAATTTGTGAATTGGTATTTCACTTGCTCAACAAGCACTTATCAACATTGGACATAGGAGTGTGCTTTACAGCAAATATTTGTCAACATCAGGCCAAGCAAGTTTCGTGTTCGAACCATAGTTAATCATCACAAGACATAGGAAGTAACTTGATAAAACAGTTATTGATCATCAAAAGTCACAGCACATGATGATCATTTGTCCTCAACAAATACAGGACGTGACGTGTTCAAATCATATTTATCATAAACAGTCAAAGGCAATGTCTTGTTCAAACGATCATACGTGTTCAACTGACTCAAAAAGTGCCGTGTTTCAACTCGAGAATATCATCAGCAGACACGAGTAGCGTCGTTATCAAATTGTATTTAAAATCACAAGACACTGGACGTGTCGTCTTCAAACACTCATTTATCATAAGTAGACACATGAAGTGTATTCGCACAATCTTTTATCATCAATAGTCACAGGAAGTGTCGAGTTCAAACCATATTTCTCATCATAGGACATGTTGTTATTATTATTTGCAGAGAAAGTTGGGTTCAAACAATTATTTATCATCTACAGCCATAGAAAGTGTCGTGTTCCATCATTTTGCCACCTTTAGATACCGGAATTGACGTGTTAAAACTCTTATTTACCTTCATCAGATACACGAAGTTTATACGAACACAACAGGTAGTCCACATACATTTAGAACTTCTGTCCTGGAAAACATTACTATTTTTATGAAATCATGAGTCTCTTGGTATAATAAATATTTCCACTTCAAGTATAGCTGGTGTGTTGTCTCTTCAATTGAGTAAATTGGATTTCATTCGCCGACAGTTTAAAACAGGCAGCGACTGTATTATATCCCTTAATATATAATATCTCGCCGGTTGTATTATACCGCCAAATGTATACAAATGTCGAAGTCTCAAACAGATGACTGTGACATCTAGCAGACTGGACTGTATACTAATATTGATTGTCTTATATCATTTGGTAGTACTGTAGTATACATATGCAAGACCACACATTTGTGTTTTTCTAACGAATCAGAAAGCAAGAGTTTATTGCGCGGACGAATATATATTCAAGAGAGCGCGGAGCGCACGAGTGAATATATACGTCCGCGCAATAAATGCTTTTATCACATACCTTCCGTATTTGGTAGAGATCGATACAAAGATTTTTATAAACTTTGATATTTTTTGCAAATACCGGGAACTTTTCAGTTCGACATGACAAGGGGATTCCCATAAAAAGTAGTTCCGGCTAGTAGGTAAATACAACATTCCGTATTGAACATGTGCAATACAGAACGTTGTATTTCATGGTCTGAAAATTGCTTGTATTACTATAACAAGATTCAACAGGTATGTGATAAAATCAACTATATTATAAATATGGCTGTAATATATCGTAAACTGTCTTTAACCACCGATTGTTTTATAATTCAGACCCTGTCATACCGCGCAGACTGTATTTCATTGCAAACAGTATGAATACGCTGAATGTATTAAACTGCCGACTATTTTTAATTGTAGCGGCTGTGTTTTTCATTCGACTGTATTTAGTTTGTGAGTGCACAACGCACCATAAAAAACGTGCACAAATCGTGGATACTTCGAGCACACATCACCCGCATATTGTACACATATCAAGGCGATTTAACAATCGTTAACCCTGTTGTGCGATGATATCCGGACAAATGGGAAATTAAGTTGCTCAATATTTCGGAATGAGTAAAATACGGAAGACTCGAATGACTTAAGTTACATTGTAGATATTTAATTTCAGATAAATTTGTATAATGCCCAATTTTACAACGCATGTTAATGGCCGTAAAACTGACAAGAATGGGGATCGTCCATTCCCCCACAGATATGCGCAAAAGATATATGTCTGTCGTTGGCACACGATGTGCATATTTGGCACACTCCCTTCACACACAGTACGCGCATTGAAAATCGCGAAGCGTTGTGATATCTCACATCTGTATGTAGCCAACTATGTTTGTACTGTTGAGTGTATTATACTGTCGAAAGGTAACCTTGCTGTTCTGATCAGTCTCACAATGAAACATGTTCAACTACAGACCAATGGAAACTTTCATATGATGTGACAAAGATTTTCGAAAAACTTTACAAATTCCGACAAACTTTAATTATTAGATGCAATATTGCTTCATGTCGGTCATGAAGTTTTTTATCGTAAGAGGAGGGAATACGGATTTTAATACGGTTTAGTTTGAGTTTACTTTCAGAGTTCAGTTTCAGTTAGTATATGTATCTTGAGCCAAATATGCAAAATTACTTGGTGTAGTGTAAATTTAAAACATGCTAATTGTTGTCAACATCCCCCATTTATTGAGTGTTCGTGGTAACAATAATCTATGAAAGAATACACACAAAACAGTCTAAGCCACTTACAACAAATGATATAAAAGAAACAGAATGAAACATAATTAATTTTGTTCTTCCGACCTCACAATAGATCCTTATCCTGTCACTAGACACATGTGGTCCAGTAACGGTATACCTGTTGAGTTTTTATGGATACTTTTTATTCTGGTATTTCTTTTTTTATACAATTAAGTGAAAGCAGTTTTTTTTTACAAAATCGTTACTATATGTATATGTAACATATATTTATCTTTTTATCGTTTTTATACACATGCTTTTACTTGTTCGTGTCCTTTGGAAAAACAATATTTTGTTATCATCCACAGGTACCTCGGATACTTATTGTCCTTCGGTAGTAATATTGTTTGAGAAGGGTTGGGTTATATGTATACATTTCCACATGTCTAACAAGCTATTTATTTGACGTTTGTACAAGATATGCATTTTAGGAAGAAAATATAAGAAATTCAATTTTAGGTAAAGTCCCCTTCGTATTAAAGTTAATTCAATTGGACTGTCTGAAGATTGATGTTTCCCAACTAAGACACCACCCAGTTCTGTAACGCACGTTTTCTTTCATCTGTTGTATTGCCCGATATCCCCGTAGTGTTTCCTTCGCCTTTATCATGTCCTGCCTACCTACGCGAATCGCCTCGTCGTCAGGGTCGGAGAAGATAATCAACCTTTATCAAAGACGGTTTAGACGGCTATGTAAATAACTTAATCAGAGAATACATATCTTCTATCAACATCGGTGAAAAGAGAAACTAGTTTGGATATGACCCGGATTTCAAACCATTTGGTGTAAACTTGTTTGACAGATTTCGGACAGAGTTCGATATAATATTTTCTGTCAATGATTTTGTCGCCAAAACAGCATGTGCTGCTTTATGCGTTGTTGTTATTGCATTGATTTATGCTGAAATAGGCTGATTCGTCGGTTAAATATAAATATCCAGAACCTTCCACATTAATATTTTCAAAAGATGATATAATACATTATGCAATATGTTTGTTATATGTTTTTTTTAATGAAAACAAACTTTTAAGTATACGAGTCAGTATTTGTTTATGTCAGGATTTCTTCTAAATTATTAAGATAATCTGCTGTTTTGTTTCTTCTATACCCCCACAGTAGATAGCGTGTCTACTATTAGGATTGGCACTTTAATGAAAACATCACAATACCTGTAGTAATGTGGCCTTAAACACCAAAACATGTGCGGTAAATGTCGGATTCACTCTTTCTTTGGATCGTATTGGATTATGGAGTCATCAACGGTTCCCACTCATCATTAAATGCGATTTTTCAAAAACTGCAGATTTTCGTAATACGTCGTATTTACGTCCATCTTTTTGAAATAACCATCTTTTGTTCTGTTGTAGATAAGCTCCTCCATACAGTCGAATGTGAAAGTCTGATAGTTCATGTAAAACTTATTTGCAAATAATTCCTTTCTTTTGGAAAGTACAGGCAAGTCTCCGATGCCAAATATACAAATTGATCGTACCATCCTTCCAGCACAAGGTTGGGTTCCCCAATTTTTGAATCTTGAGTTCTTTATATACGGTTCCACGTAACCTGAAAATTTAAACGAGACGTTAAAATTCTGCTACAGTAATGTTTTGATCATTGTTGTGTAACTAACGATTGCTCAAAGGTATTCCTATTCAACAAGAGAGGAAAATATAACAGGGACAAAGTAGGTGCAAACTCATGACCTTGTAGAGATAAAAACAATATGGATTACCGCTAAACGATCTACACAATAGATTAAGCTAGGGGAGAGATATGTGAAAAGGAAAGCTTTACAATGGGATTCGTCGAAACGTACACGGATATTAGGACCAGATGTTCTGGAAGGGTAAAAGTCTTCAACGTAATCGACAGCACACAAAATCAACAAATGCCGCGCCCTCAAAGCGAGGGCAGGGAAGTGACAACAAAACAACACGACACGTATAACGTAATAAAACATCGACCTTCATTTACAAATACATTAATATACCGCCTTCAGCACATATACACACAAGGCGATATAACCGACAGTACTATTTAATAAGACCATAATGGCGACCCTAAAACCTGCCTAACACAGCCTGGATATCTCGAATCTAGAACCAACTAAGCTTTGTTTGTTTCTCCCTCGCAACAGTAAAGGTAATTAAAAGACGATTTCCAAGGCAGCACCGAAAAGAAATGGATTTTAAACAGGACAGACAACCCAAGTATTACAATAGGGGCAGCATATTATTTTTGGTTTCTTTAATGTCCCTCAGGCAAAAGACACAGTATAATAACCCCGATTCTGCTGGGACCCCACGTTCCTTACCTCTTACAACAAACTGCAGTGGTACACAGCAGGTATCTTCTTTCCCTGAACCTACATGGGCATAATACACCGAACTTACTTTTCACAGATATAAAATTGGGAACCGTATTTAGATCATTAAGGATCCTTGTATCACTGGAATCGATGTTATAGATACTTTCACTGTAGTTTTACATATAACATGCATTTTGTTATACCTTTTGCACGACTGGGAAAGTCCACTGAAGATGACAAGGTAGATCAGTTAGTTGGAGGGACAATAAAACGAACAATGATCAGAGGTTTAAACCCTGATCCACCCCTGCAGGTCGGGGATTGAGGAAAGAATATACCTGTTGTTATCGTAAGAGGCGACTAATGTTTTAAACCCCTACAGAATCGATTTAAATAAATCTGCTGCATCAATTGCAATACTTGGAATCTTTATTTATTTTGTTTTCTCATACGTTTTCTTTGTGTACATAACCCAGGACCATATGTCCGTAAGCAAACGCTTTGTATTAACAAACGTATCAAATATGTTTTGTCTGCGTTTTTACATCGGAAAAACCAGTCCCAGGATGTGTAAACATCACTCGATACACTTCAACATTAACCAACACCTTGATATACCTACAATATGCACCCTAAAATGTATGATGTAAATTACATTCTCTATTTACCGTTAGCAGATCCTGGGATACCAAGGTGAGCATTGTGGTTCAACGACGCAAAAAACGTCTCGTCTGGAACAGATGTATTTCTGCACCAGTTCAAAAACGCTTGTGCAGTTTGATTATGAAGTATATAATCTACAAAGTGTCTGTTTACTGTGATATGGACACCCCCCTTCCCAGGGGTAATACCAGCAGGGGGCGTTCCTGCTTTAGCCCATCTCCGTACATTAGCCCTGAAATGTAAAAAGAAACTTTGAAACAAAAATAAAAACAGAAATTTTTGGTGGAATAACAAAATAATATACGACAAATAAAATGTAACCCTTGTTGTTATTTCATCGATTATTAATACAATTATTTAACAATTTTTGTGTGTAACACTGCCTGTGTAAATATCAGAAAACATTGACGCCACTTTACTAATGCGAATCCTTCCCTTTAAAATTATTATCCTCAACTGTTTTACTATGTTGATGGATTATTTTACACACAATAGCGTTGTACCCATAAGGTTTAAGTTTGTAATAGTATAAGGGGTTTGAAGGCACTATTTCACTGTTTTCCCGAATATTTTTCGAACCACAATTGAACCGGATATTCGTTACCTGGACGCTAAGTACCGTTTGGGAGTATATCTATATCTATATATATGGTATAGTGAAATTGTGTTCAGCTTTCTGCATCGACTTGCCTGAGTAATGAAAAAGGTGTTTCTTTACTGCGTATTTGTAGTGACTAGAATAATATCAATAGAAAACAGAATACCTTTTCAGTGTACCAGCAACGTCGTTGGTGCCATTATATATTTTCAATATCTTGACAAGTTCTCCGTTCGTTCGTAGGGGAAACTCTTGTCCTGTCAGGTTGATAAAGTACTTCCATGTTTTGTATTTCCATAGTTCCTCCATACACAAAATTTCTGGCTCCAGAACTGTAAATGTCCCCCATCTTACATTCACCGATCGTTTTGTTATAAACACATTATCAAAACAATCTGCAATCGTTGATAATGTTTTTCGGAAATCCTCCGCAGTTGTTAAATCTATATGTATACAATAAACATTCTGTGGCCTGTATATTGCCCTTAGAAGTCGTTCGACTTGCATTAGGTCTTTGTATACTAATAAACTATATGCCAATGGAAACTCCTTTTCCTCCCGGGTTAGGTAACTCGTGATGTAACTCTGTTTAAATATTGTACAGTTTTGTACCTGTTCCTGGTAGTATATTGACGATGTTGTTTGTAACGATCTCTTGAATAACATTGCACGCTTTTGTTCTGTTTTATTACCAGCAAAGAGCAACGGACAACTTACTGGTAGGACGCTTTGCCTTGGCAAATCAGGAAAAACAAAATGGAAACGGTCATGATAAATATCATGTGATTGCTTCGCTTGCTCGTCAGCTAACACATGAGTCACGGATTTATTAGATCCCATCCAAGACAACAGTAGCCCATGCTTAGAACAGATGGTTGATGGACATATACTTTTGACTTTGATCCATGATTCGGTATGAAGGAATTGTAGCAATTCCATTGCAAAAGCAAACAGAAATACAAAAATACAGTAGCGTTTGATTTTTGTATATTTCGCCATCTCTATATAATACCTTTAATGTCCTGACGATGGTAAGGCATCTGTGCAGATTTCTTATATGTAACTTAATGCACACATGCAGCGAGATTTAAGCCTTTCTTACCATTGGTAACACATTTTTAATGGAATTTGTGCAGCGGTTACCCGGAAATATAGATCGCTATGGGTGTTCGTTAAAAGCTTGTTAGTTTATGGAATTTTATTCCCGGACTGGTTTAATGTTGTTTGACTTTGTTTGTCTGAAAGAGAACGAAATTCACTAGCTGTAACATTATTATGATGTATTAAAAGTAGATTTAAAACATGTACAAAATAGTTAGGTGCGGAAAGGTGAATAGAGCTGGAAAAACAGATAATTATATGTACTAATTGCTATCAGATATAAAAAAAAAAAAAAACAAGTATAAATCGGTTTAGCTTTCATAGTATTTCAAGTCCAATTAACCTAAAAGCTCATTTAACATAATGTTTTGATATACTAATACTGTTACTGATAATAAAGTGATTGACACTGAAAAACAGAAAATAGAAGTTGATGCATGGATAATGGATAACAATAAATCGATAAACAGATCATGTTACACAGAAAGTTATATTAACATCAGTTAAACATTATATTTAACAAATAATTAAACTATGATTTTAAAACAATCATTGATACAGGAATAAAGTGAAAGAAAGTTGATATAAAAAATTCGTAAAATAATAAATATTATAAGGGTTATGTTGAAAAGAAATAACTCTAAGGAAAAGGCGAAGCATGTTCTGTTTATTTAGGTAACGGTCTCGTAATAGCTAAGGTCATGTTAAAACTTGTTCCATGGGTTAACCGACGTAAAGAAAGAAAACAGAGAAATGATCAGATCCAGAGTGTTGCAATGATAGGTTTTGCTTTCCTCAGTAAAAAACCCAAATTTTGCCGCAGGCCCCACATTAAACACATCTGAAAATATTGTGCAGCTAGATAAAGCAGGCCTAATGCTTTCCCGAACCTACACAGGAGAAACAAGTTTGATGTACCGATTATGTAAGACATAACTAGGCATAAGGATTATGTGAAATGAAAATTAATTTGAAACAGATTAGAATAAAAGTGTTAAAAGGATCAAATAAAACAACATCTGGTATAAGGATTATTAAAAAAATAAATAGAAGCGGAAACAATTTGAATAGAGTGTTACCTTAGAGCTTACAAGAGTCGATAAGTGACGGTCCAGAAGGAGAGTAGTGCCCTGTCTCCTTTACGATATCTGTCTCCTGTCAAACCTAGGGGTGCGTGTAGGCCACCGATGAGTTAACTTTCATTCAACAAGTTTAATCAATAAATACACCGACAGTAAATACATGATAAGCACCGCTACGTTATCGGTGAACTGTGATAATATAGAGACCAGGTCTCTAATATTAAACATGTCCGTATTATCGTACTTATAATGGAACGTTATGGCAGTCACTATGTCGCTTGGACATTTTAACGGATTAAACTGCAGTTGATAGAAATGAAAGTTAAGCGTGATGGGTATCTATAAGCCAGTCAAAATTGCCATGATAGGGAAGAAAGGTTCCAGACCTAAGGCTGAAGCATCAAAACGAACTTTTTACTGGTTTTAGGTTCTTCCTTGCCAGGGTATTAAGTATACGATTAGCAGCGAATATAACCAGAATTTGACAGCTTTTTGCTTTTGTTTTCTCAAAAAAACCGGGATGTATTTGTTATGGAAACCATCTGTTGAAAAAGACCTCAACAAACATGTCACATCGCTGATAACTTTATGGTTCTTTAATGCCATATATATCATTTAGAGACTAGTATTGTCATCGAACTGAAAGAAGGTGCAAGACTTTTTCTTTTTTTCTTTATGTCTATTTCTTTATTTTAAATGACTTCGGTTAAAATATGTGGTAACATACTAAATGAGGGAGGTGCACTAAGGGCCATTTTTTGTCCCACCTTGTTTGACATTTACAATAAGTGCAGTTTCCAAGAATTCCGATATTGCGTTGCTTAGCAACAGCCCTGGCAACCCAATATATAACTTGTGGTCGTTTTTTTCACTTTATAGTGAACTTTTGTTAATATTGTGGAAAGATAATAGTTATAAATTATATTTTTTCCATAGCAACCAACTTTTGACCTTTGCAACCATTGTTTTTACCAGAAATACATTCCCTAGTTATTATACACTAGATAGACAAATGTTGGCTTGTACAAAAAAATAGCATCATATTTTAATTTGAAGTTACATCCATCTGTTATTCCATAGCAACCGAATGGCATGCATAAGCATCCAGTTTGATCTATAGCAACGGTACCTAAATGCTATCCCAATTTCAATAGTTCTAAACTGGGGTCAAAGTAAACTTAGATATGTATATATTTACCAATTTAAAAATCTTTTTATTTAATTACCTATTAACCTAATTATTGACTTCGCAACCACGAAGGGAGAAATCTGCTTGTTTATACTTTTAAATTAGTGTATCATGCTAAATGTGTTGTCACTTCCTGAGGCAAATACTGATTTATGTTTATTTGGAAATGTGGAAAACATGTCCTTTCTTTATCCACTTTAAATACTTCTTCATAATCGAAAGGCTTGTGCATACGAAGTTTCAAATCCATAACCTTGATATTCATAAGGGCCAAGTTGTATCTCAGCTGTACAGAGGAGGAGCTTTTGAACAGTTCAATTATTCAATAACTTTTCACCGTTATTGACATGTTAAGTTAGTTTTTTTGAACTCCTTATCACCTCTTTTCTTTTGTCTTTCCTTCCAGAATTTGACTGTATTGCGTGCTCTAGTATGTTATTAGTTCAGATAATAGAGAACAAAAAATCTTTATATAAATATTTATAATGTAATCATTAATCCCGTTAACAAGTAACCTTAGAATCCAGGTTAATTTCTTAGCATATAGCAAAAAGGTAAAAATGATAATGAGGAAAAAACAAAAAGCAGATACATGTAAATCAAATCTGAAAACTATGTCTGCTCATATAGTTAACCTAGTACAGTAGTAAAATTATTTCAAAATTAAATAAAATTTAAATTGAGTTTGATAATAAATAAAACTACTTTGTTGTCTACGTCAGGTTTCTGTTTAAAACTTTTACCAAATAATTTAGACAATGAAGATAAAATACCTCCTGTTTAAATTGTTCTAATCAATTTGATTGGTCAACTTAAAAATACAAAAAACCTGGGCCTTCTTCTTATTACAAGTCTGATTCAGGAGCACGTGCTTAGAAATGGAAGTAATTACAGGAGTAAAGATTTCTGCAGCAGCTTTTAAAATCCTTCTGACATAACTCCTCCACATGATGCTTTCTTTATAATTAACATTGCAATGAGTTTTTAAAAATTATTCTAATTTACGGAACTACGAATCAAAGCATCATTTGTTTAGATAAATAGTAATAATAACATATACAACACTGTGGTGTTCTTTACAAGTTAAAACGATCGCATCATCTTTGTCAATATCGTTGCAACGTTTTAGAAAAAATATTGATTAAACAGTTCTCCTGCAATTATACCATTTGTAGATACTTATCGGGCTTACCTTCTAGAAAAAAATGTGACATTAAATCTATCGTTGTTGGTTCAAAGGTCGACATTCTTTCATTTCATTTGAACAATTCTTTAACAGTGTACTGATCGATGTGTATTTCTATCATGATGAGTTTAACGTCTTCGTTTTGTTGTCTTTAACGTTTGAACTAACGTCAAACACAATTTTAACTATTTCCTTTCGTCCTTTTTGAACATCTTTTTCCTGAAGATTTTTCTGAACAAATTTCATCCAACTACTTTCGAAATTGGGATAACTACATAATTATTGAAATATTTTTAATGGCCTCCAGGAGCTCCGATTGGTTAATCAAGAAAATCCATATACCAGGAAGACTTTCAGTCATTAAGTTCGTCTTTTGTTATGATATTGAGAAACAAAAGAGAAAATGTTTTCGTATGTTTTGTTATTAAGTAAAGTGTCGTCTGTCGGTTTCCGTCAGAGGTTTTCATCACCTGACGCAGAAAGAGAGAAAAGCAACGTGCTGAAACAACAACATGTTATCGGAAGTGACAGGAGGTGTCGTGTTCAAACGATAACTTATCATCAACAGACACAAGAAGTTTCGTTTTAACTCACTCATTTATTTCATCAGATACAAGATGTTTGCCTAATAGTGTATCCACAGTAGTTACTCCACCAACATATACAGTCACTGTTCTGGAAAACATTACATGTACTATTGGTATGTAATCCTGTGTCTATTGGTATAAATAAACTTCAATTATAAGTGGTATGTTGTCATTTCTATTTAGTAGATTTGAATTATTTGACGGTTTGAAACAGGCAACGACTGTATTATATCCCTTAATAAACAATATATCGCCGACTCTATTATATTACCTAATGTATACAATTGTTGAAAGTCTAAAACTGCTGACTGTGATTTATCGTAGACAAGACTGTTTATCAATTAGACACAAATTGAAAAACACGGTGTGTCGGTCAATAGCTCTTTAGAGCTTATGATATTTATTTTTGTCGCACGTACTGTAGTAATCAAAAAGCACTAACACAACTTAATCATGTACTACATGTTATTACTAACTTTTTAGCTTATATCGTTACAATATGAAGTCCAACACGAGCGTCAACTGTGTAGATTCATAGATACATACAATGTACCTGACGTAGGTTTCAATGGTACACAAGAGCGCTACAGGCTTCTGCTTTTGACAACAGGAAGTTTTACAAACCAAACCGGTGAGGTTCTGACACCTTATAAATCCGCCATCACATATTTAATTCAACTAAAACTATACCTTTTTAAAGTTAAACATCTGTAGATTTCAAGCAATAGAAGACATATTACAAACATTTTATTTAACCGGAACATAATTTAGGTAGGAATTAAAATCGTCAGAGGAATTTGCGGATTTGCTGATTTAAACGTATGAATCCTAAACCAAAGCTGGCAAATATCCGGATCAGTTAATATTTCGCTGTACAAAGACAGACAACTCTCCCAACACATACTAAAACACTTTTGTTGACAGATGAAACAAGCAAATGCAGCGAAGCTGCTGGACACCAGATATGTTGATGAAATTCACTGACAATCTAACGACAACGAGGAACAGACCCTGTATACTTGAATTCATTCTTTGGATTTTATTGGATGCTGTGTACAGCATTCATACCGGTCCTCGCCAAGCCTGGGCAAATCAAAACCAAAACAACAGACTTTCTTCTACCGCGGAAGATCTTTAGTTGCTGTCTTGATTATTTCATGGTATGATAGATGCTATAAAATGATGAAATACATATGAAAACGATCAATATATCAAAGAAAAATGTTAAAATTTCACGAAAAGGCAAGTTTTTTCAGTGAGCACCATGAACTATATCAATCTCAAATTACTACCCTTTTTGGAACGAATAATTTAACAAACAAAAAAACAAAAAAAAAACCACTTTATCTCCTTCCGTGAAAGATCTTTAGATAATGTGTTCATTATTTCATGATATGATCAATGCTATAATATGGTAAAATATATCTGTATAAGACAAAAATCAAAGAAAATATGTTAAGATCTTTAACAGTGGTGTTTTTAATCAGTGAAAGTTACGAACTATATTTGGTTCAAATTACTACGCCTCGTATTCAGATACTCTAATGTGTGTGTGTAAGAGATTTTCCCCCTTGTCCATCATTGCGTAGTTTGTAAAATCTCCAAATGAAAGAGAATGATGACTTATACTAAAGTAGCCGTCAGCAGCTGTGCCTCACGAGTTTATAGATAGCTTCCCAATAGATAATTGCCCAATTAGTATAATACAAGTAGCATATTGAACATCAAAAAATAAAACCGTATACACATATTATTCACATTAACCAGAAACTGAATAGTTATATAGGTCTTTAACCTCGTTACAATATCGAGAGAAGGAGAGATACACAAGGGACTTGCATAAGTCCGTGATTACAAGCATTGGAAATTATACAATCTCGTTTCAAGTTTTTGTATAATTAACCATGATAATACAAAATTGTAACAATAATATCATAATTATTTATTTTTGTGATCTGTATAACATTTATTTATTTATTTATTTAATCGTAAACTTTCCTATAATCTTACGGGTCAATTTTGGTTTGCAGTGATCATTGTTTGCGCTGTAGCAGCTTCATTCCTTGAAGGATTTCCATCGGTTTGAAACACTAGTTAAGGACCATAATATCAGACAAGTTTCAG